TGTGGGTGGCTTTTAAGTTATAGTCTATTTCAACCTGTATTTTGATGAATGGCTGATCATCGCATGCATCGAAATCAAGGTGTTTTCAGTAGCCATACGCATATCGTACATATGCTTACTGCCTTTTTTGAACGGAACCAGTTTTGAGCCTTGAAGTCCTCATTGTTTCGCTGTTGCTGTTTCCTCGTCAGAGCATCGCGTCTTCATGCACCACACACACACACACACACGCACGCACGCACGCACGCACGCACGCACGCACGCACGCACGCACGCACGCACTATATATATATATATATATATATATATATATATATATATATATCTCTCTCTCTCTCTCTCTCTCTCTCTCTCTCTCTCTCTCTCTCTTCTCTCTCTCTCTCTCTCTCTCTCTCTCTCTCTCTCTCTCTCTCTCTCTCTCTCTCTCTCTCTCTCTCTCTCTCTCCTCTCTCTCTCTCTCTCTCTCTCCTCTCTCTCTCTCTCTCTCTCTATCTCTCTCTCTCTCTCTTCTCTCTCTCTCTCTCTCTCTCTCTCTCTCTCTCGCTCTCTCTCTCTTCTCGCTCTCTCTCTCTCTCTTCTTCTCTCTCTCTCTCCTTCTCTCTCTTCTCTCTCTCTCTCTCTCTCTCTCTCTCTCTCTCTCTCTCTCTCTCTCTCTCTCTCTCTCTCTCTCCTCTCTCTCTCTCTCTTCTCTCTCTCTATCTCTCTCTCTCTCTCTCTCTCTCTCTCTCTCTCTCTCTCTCTCTCTCTCTCTCTCTCTCTCTCTCTCTCTCTCTCTCTTCGCTCTCTCTCTCTCTCTTTCTCTCTCTCTCTCTCTCTCTCCTCTCTCTCTCTCTCTCTCTCTCTCTCTCTCTCTCTCTCTCTCTCTCTCTCTCTCTCTCTCTCTCTATCTCTCTCTCTCTCTCTCTCTCTCTCTCTCTCTCTCTCTCTCTCTCTCTCTCTCTCTCTCTCTCTCTCTCTCTCTCTCTCTCTCTCTCAGAGGAGAGGAGAGAGAGAGGAGAGAGAGAGAGAGACGATGAGCGGAGAGAGAGAGAGAGAGAGAGATGACCGCCCTCATTCCACTGGCCCATGTGTCTAGACGGTTTTGTGAGAGCCGCCATCCCAGAAAACCGATTCCGTCAGTTGCCTTCTGTCTTCCGAATTTCAGGGTCATACCTGACCCTAAGTCAATAGAGTCTGTTAATTCAATTGCTTTGTTGCCTACGAAGCTGTCTCAGAGATGTAAGATTTCGTCTAATGCTCCGTACTTTGTCTCTACTCTAATACTCTACTTTGTCTCTACTCTCTAATACCCCGTAATCCTTCTAATACTTCGCCACATTGAACGATTCCCTACAAATTACCTTCGCTGAAGACCTGGCCTGATTCTGACCTGCCGCAGGCCAGCGACCTTGCAAGGTGCATTTAATATTTTGTACCAAACGATCCGCTATTCAGTGGTCTACAATTGGGCAAAATCTGGCGCGGCTGTGCCGCGCCGTTCGGAAACCATTGCGGAAAACCCTTCAAGTTGGGGGGCCAAATTGACCCCCCACCCGAGCTTGTGTTGAGCCACGAAGTCACGATTCGACAAAAGACGCGATGAACGGAATTCGTTCGCCATATTTGTCTGTTGCGAATATTGGTTGCGGCTGCTATGCGTTAACCGGTGATTTCTCAGGCGACCTGCGCCCGTCTAACTGTGTCGTCGGCCTTTCGCATGTCGTCGCTATAGAACACAAAAATGCGCTCAGCTGGGAGAAGTTCCAGCCCACCCAGTGTAAGGGCTACGGCGCAGACAAAGAACTCACAAGAACCTGCTGCAAAAAAAAACGTTGCATTGGTTAATGGTATTGAGGTATTACGTTAGCAAGCAAATATTCAAACGCGATAGTTATTTAGAAAAGATATTAGTTGTTCGATGTTGTTTTAAAATAGTGCCATGGATCACTAAAATAGCATCGAATTCACCAAGCTTAGTAGTAGGCGCCAGTCGCGAAGATCCAGGTCACTGCAGGAACCTCTTTGCGGTGTTAACGGGGCTAGTTCCCAGTAATTCTGTGATTGGGGGCGAGGCTCCCGCCGAGCTTGCGTCCGATTGCTCTTTCCGGTTGATTCGGTCCGCCGTGTCTCCGTCATTAGCGAACGGCTGACGACCGGCGCCGCACCCATGTCCCAACGTCAACAGGCCGCAGCGCGCGCCGGTCCCGGCCTGACCAACCGTCCCTCCGTGCCACCGGTGAACCCCGTTGACCTATGTGCCCTAGAGTGGCCAGGGGTGCCGCCTTGCCGTGCCCGCGGTGACCCCCGGTGACCTATATGTTTCAGCGTAACCCTTGAGCCGCCCTGCCTTGCTTCCGGTGACCCCTAGTGACCTCCAGTAGCCGGCGTGTCTCAGTGTGACCTTTCAGACACCGTGCCGTGACCCCGGCGACAGCTGGTAAGCCGCGTCGCCCCCAGGTCGTTGAGCCCGGCGTCGGCCAGCCTGCCGGAGACGCACCCTGGTGTAGTGCGGCCGGCGGCGGCCGGGCCAGCCGAGAGTCGGCCGTCGCCGCCTCTCTACTGCGCCGAGCTGGAGGAAATCCGCGTCTCGCCTGCCGTCAGCCGCCGCGGCCCGCTCGAGGTTTTCGAGGAACTCACCCAGACCTGGCTCAAACGCTGGCTGGTGAGTCACGCTGAGGACTGGCTCAAACGCTGGCTGGTGAGTCACGTTGAGGACTGGCTCAAACACTGGCTGGTGAGTCTCGCTGAGGAAAAGCTCAAACGCTGGCTGGTAAGCCACGTTGAGGACTGGCTCAGAAGCTGGATGGTCATCGCATCAATATCTGCCTCGAACGCAGCATGGGGCGTCAGGTGGAGTACCGGCTCCAACGTTGGCTAGTGATGCACAGCCGGTCGCTGGAGGTGGGTCGCCCGCATGAGTTCCTACTCCGGTCGCGATCGCCAGCTGCCCCGCCCGGACCAGCTCTGGGCAGTTAGCGGTGCCTCTGCGTGCC